TTCATGGGAGATGCCGGGACAGCGTCGTGTCCCGCATAAGCTTTGTCTTGTGGGTGGGCCGCCCCTAGGTATGCAGCCCATGTGATCTACCGTGGTATCCGGAGTGCGTGCCCCCATAGGATGTCTGAGGAGCCTAGGCACGCAACATACTACTAGCTTGATTGCAAGCGGTAGGGGTGTCAGAAGCAACCAAGTTAGCCATATAATAGTAGAGATGCATGGTAGAGTATATTACGTGCTAGTAATAAATAATACACCCGCAGCAGAACAAGTAGCTGCTCTCAAGCGGTAGTTCAAGGGTGCTACAGTATAATTGGCCCCTCCTTAACTTTGATTCACGCTCCGCCACTGTCTCAATGCAAATCTGAACCGGAACTATTTGTTTTGTGTTTGTATTTGAGGATATTCAAAATTGTATTTGTATCTGGCGAAAAAATTCAATACTCGACTAATAGATATCCGAATTTCTATCCATATCCATTCCATTTCCACCCCTAGGGAGGATGGTAGTTAAAATGTGGAGGAAGTAAATCGAAGAAACAACATTTTTCCTGATTCTGCATCCTAGTGTAAAAAAGGAGAAATGTTTCTCTGGTTTATGATTTGAATAACTAGCTAGACATCCAGGTCCAATCGGGTGTCATGCGACATCATAGTGGGTCGGGCCCGCTTGGACATGGATTATACTCTGTGATAAGTTCTGAGACATGTATGACACCTTGGAACAATTTGTGAGGACCTGAAAATGGTATTCTCACCCTAGGATAAATTCGAGGACCTGAAAATACATTTTTGAAGTTCGGACTTCGGAGACGTGAATGACACTTGGAACAAGTTCAAAGTGCATGTAATCATTTTTTTCGTTTTAAATAAAATACCATGTTTCATACCAAAGTTGCTGGTCAAAACTGCAACTCAGAGAGCATATTTTTCTTTTTGAACTGCATAATCCTTGCTAATTTCAAAAACAACATAGGAAGATCTGTGCTTTCCCCGTCAATTTCTGTTGTTACCATTACACACGAATACACGATGCATTTGTTGCAAAGTTTTGAACGTTGAAACTGAGGCACACCTTATAAATCTGGACGGCGTACGTCTTCAGCGAGAGAAAAAAGGTTTTACATGTATACTAGCAGTAGTTTGCATGCGTACAAACAACCTTCCCGCTGCATCGGTATGTCTATGTCGTTTGTGGCGAGGATGCTCTGGCCGGCCGGAGCGATGAGGCAGCAAGACCGGACAGCGCTGGTGCCGCCTGGAGAGGTAGCGGCGCCGGCGCGGTCAGTATTCAGCGCTGCGTCCGTCGGCGGCGCGGATGACCATCGGCGAACCTTTTCCATGCAATCCACCGGGAAAGCAACCCGCAGGAAAAAGCACGGCAGGTCGGAGCCGCTGTTGCTTGCACTTTCCCACGCTGCGCTGCAGCGGCGATTTGCCATTTGTCCCTGCTCACCTCGGCGACGTCAACTCAGAATCAGTGAGATCTTCCTATGTTGTGTGTCGGACGAGAGATGACCGGATCGGGATCGCTTCTCCTTTTGTGGCACTGTGGATCGTGGCAGGTCGGCTGGCTGGCAGCGAGGACCGAGGAGACGCTGATCGAGTCGAGTGAACGGCCAGCCGTATTCGCTAGTAGACGCTAGAGGTGAGGCGATGGGAGTGGTGGCTCTGGCTCCCGGCTGCACGGTCAATGCTGGAGGAACGACGGCTTGAACGCTGGATTGTGACACGAAACGTCCGGGGGCGTGGCCGGCTGCGCTGTGCGTTGCGTGTGGTGGTAGTGTGCCAGTGCTGTGTTGCCCACGCACGCGTCAGCGTCTTATCCGCTTGGGCCGGCCGCGGGTGTAGACGGAGCTGAGCCTCTGTCTGAGCCCCCAGCGCAGCACGGGCACGTGCAGGGTGTATGAACGGCATGCGACAGAGTACAAAGCGAAGCCCTTTCATCGTGCGACCGAATTTCTGAATGCTTGCTTATTGTTGTTCCTCGGAGGGTAGTCAGACAAGACGACCAAGGAGAAAAAAAAACGGAAAGCCGCGAGGAAGCCTACAGTATTGGTAGGCAGCCAGGGAACCCCATTCCCACAAAAAAATGGCGATGTAGCAACAGGGAATCATGGTACCACTGGCTGGCAATGGCATGGCATCCTGCTCCTGCACAGCACCTCTCTCTGTTATCCAGCCCAGCTCAGGAGAGGACGGCCATCAGATCCGACACCCTCAGCACGATGTAGTTCGTGCCATCGGCACCCTTGAACTCGCTGCCGGCGTACTTGGAGTACACGACGGTGCTCCCCGCAGACACAGACAGCAGGCTCCTCTTGCCTTCCTCGTCCAGGGAACCTGGGCCAACCGCTACGACCTGTCTCCGACCAAGAAATAATGTCGTTTTCACATTTTCTGCTTCTGGTTTGTACTAGATGCAAAGTTATAGTGCATGTTTAGTTCCCAAAATTTTGCAAATTTTTTCAAGATTCCCCGTCACATCGAATCTTTGGACGCATGCATGAAGCATTAAATATAAATAAAAAATAAAACTAATTACACAGTTTAGACGAATCTTTTAAGCCTAATTAGACTATGATTGGACACTAATTGCCAAATAACAACGAAAGTGCTACAGTACCATTTCCCAAAAAATTTCGCCAACTAAACAAGGCCATAGTTAAGCTCTGACACGGCCGTACACAGTCCAAAACAGTACAGTTCGGGACCATGGCACCTTGTTATTATCATCGCATTAACGATATTGAGTCGTGTAGAAAAGAAGTGCCCAAGAGCCTAAAGAACTGAGCAACTGACCGTTCCAATAGATGGCTTCTCCTTGGTAGTTTCGGTAAGCAATAGACCACCTGGAGTTTTGTCTTCAGCTTCAGCAACCTGTCAGAAGAGAAACACCATGCAAAACAGGTGGTGTTAAACACAAGGGTGAGACAGTTGAAACTCAACCTGAATGGCAATGCATACTGTATACTGAAATAAGCACAGATACGGTGACTGTGTAACCAGATATCTAGATCGAATAAATATAAGATCGCTACCTTGATTAGAACCCGGTCATTCAGAGGCTTCATGTCTTTCACATCACCGGTTTCTAAGATACCTATAATGTCATCCTCTTTGAGAACAAGATGGTTGTAATCATTCAACTCAACCTCAGTTCCAGCATACTTTGAATAAACAACTTGAGCTCCAACCTGAAGTAGTAGCAAATGCACATGTTAGCATGGTGTTCTCTTTTCTTGCCAACAATAGGGCAAAGCCTACTTGTATTAAGAACTATGACACCAGAACACATGTACAAAGAATTCAGATGGAACCAGAAATAACATCAAATGTGTAAAATTGTGGATCAAACAGGCAGTACAAGTGCTTTGACAGCTCCATCTTGCAGTATGGCTCTAACTAGTAGATTGGTTATATTCCAAATAGGTAAGGTAAAAGGCTCGCTCTGTTTGTTTAAGATGTGATTTTCTTACTCATAAACTGAGATAAAGTGACAACACATGGCTTTCAAGTAAAACTTTTCTTTCTCTATCACAACCAATTCTTAGGTAGGACAAGGGATTCTAAGTACTGAAGCGGGTACCATTTCTCTGTCCACCAACAGGCAACAGCTAATGGAATAGGTGAATAGCTACACCTGCTCACATGAGAATATGTACCCATATATAAAGTTGTATTAAAAGCAACAGACACGTAAGATCTTACATGTTTGCAAAGAACATACCTGAATGCTAACATCAACTTTCTTATCCCCAATTATCCTTCCTTCTCCAACAGCAACTACCTCACCACCCTGAGGTTTGGACTGAGCAGTCGTAGGGAGCAAAATTCCACCAGTTGTCTTCTCCTCGGAAGAGTTAATCTTTACAAGCACTCTATCAGCCAAGGGCTTAAGTGTTGTATACTGCAATGAATAAAAAGGCATAGTGTTTCATTCCTGCAAAGCATTAAAAAAACTCTCTGGAAAACAAATGAGATCAACTGCGCTAAGTGAGGAGGCTGCAAGATATAGCCCAACAACGGCCCAACCAACAAAATGTTAAGTACTACACATGAAGATTCAGACTAGATATCGAACTAAAATGGTAACCGGTTACAGATTAAACATAATTTATTTACAGACTTTTTGAACATGCTGATTGAACCCACATTTACAAATGCTCTCCACAACACAATTCACTGCAAGGCAGACCATGGATTCAGGTGCAATTCACCACATGTAAGCATTAATCAAACCACAACCAGACGTTAGTGTAATTCAATTCACATCACAGACACCAGAGTATCGAATTGTAAGAAGCTAACCATAACCTAACAAACCAGCATTTCCAAACCCCAACCATTTTGCCTATATTCCGTCACAATCAAAGCCAAGGGCCACCAGCACTCTCAGCAGTGACTTCGCCTCGTCTCTCTTCTGCCTCGGTAAGCATATGCAACAGCACGCAATACGGCAATAGCCAATAACCAATCCCACTACCCCCATTCCCCGTGAAAACAACATCGCCAAGCTACATTGCCTGGGCACGCACCTTGGGAGCGACGACGGTGGCGGCCCTGACGACAAGGCCGCGGAACGCCCGCCGGGCCGGGCGGACCTCGCCGACGATCACCGTCGAGGGAAGCCGGAGCGCACCGATGGAGGCCTTCCCCTTCGCAGCGAAGGCCGCGGCGCCGACCCCCGCGCCGGAGACCTGCAGCGACGCCATTCCTCGAGCAGATAAACCCTAGCGGTCTAGCGGATAGCACAGAGGACACAGGACAGCAAGAGCAGCGGAAGCCGCCGCAGCGGAGCCGGACGAGCGCTTTATCCCCAGGGACACGCCACGCTTCTGGGGAGCCCAGTGTAGTAGCCCTCTTTATCCTGGATGGGCTTCGTCCCGGCCCATTAAACTCTGGGCTGAGGAGTCGGTCGTCTCACTGGGACGCGATTAGTTTAGTTTCCCCGTCGCTCTGGGCCGCCGGCTTCCGCCGTTCCGCGGCGGAGGGAAGCCATGGGCGCCGCCGTTGCAGGGTGGACCGTGGCGGCGGTGCTGCTTCAGGTCGCCGGCCTCTCCCTCTTCCTCTACGGGTTCTTCCCCGTGAAGCCCACGCTGCGTAGCTTCAGGTCCGCGCCTATGTGCCTCTGCTTTGGTTTCTCTTGAGTCCTGACTCTCGCTATGCTGTGAAATTTACGGTGTTCGCTCTCGTCTGGTTGTGTCCAGTGGAGCCGAGAGTTACCAGGTGCCTTCGTGCGGCTTCGTTAGTGCTGGGGAGCAGGAGCCGACGCTTCACCCGGATCAGCTCAGATCTCTGTACAGGGTAAGGCGTTGCTACTGTCTCCATTCCTCGTGTAGGTCCTCCTCGTACAGCTATGTGTTGCATTGTTATGCTGCTAGAACGAAGCTTGGGAATGTTGAACTAGTGGATAACTGTGCTGTGGGGACTGGATACTATGCATTTTCCCCTGAAATTTGAAAATTCTTAACAGATCGCATTATCAGTTATGTTCACCCTTGCTATTTTCTGTACTCCAGGAACTCTCTGGGATCCCTCCTGTGTACGATCGCTTAGTGTTGATGGTATGTCCTGAATTGATATGAATGTTCATTTGGTTCAGCAGCATAGTTCAAATATGTTTTTGGTGATATTTTGTCTTACCCCCTTTTTTTAATTTTTGCCTTTTGAGTTTATGAATGTCAATTTAGGTAATCGATGGACTACCTACTGAATTTGTACTTGGGAGAGGCAGGAAACCTCCAAGCAAAGAAATGATGGAGTCTATGCCATACACTCAGTCTTTGTTGGCTGGTTGCAAAGCAGCACCTTACCATGCCAAGGCTGCACCTCCCACCATCACAATGCCCCGACTAAAAGTAAGACTTCTTTCTAGAGACACCCTTTTATTCAAGTGTTCCACAATACTAACTGTACTCTTTTTTAGGCTATGGTGTCTGGGGCAATTGGAGGTTTTCTAGACGTAGCATTTAATTTCAATACTCAAGCCTTCTTAGAGGACAATCTTCTTGGTTAGAACCTCTCTGTACCTCCCTACCTGTTTCATACTAAGCATATATAATGCCCTACATGCTATATGACAACTGACGACATGTTTCAACATCTGTGGGAGATTGCTTTAGGAGTCCACCAGCAAATGATGGATTTGTATTGTTAATTCATGTGTGCATGTTTGACAAAGTTTATCTCTCTGTCATTCTAATTTCTATTTATCTTTATTGAATTGCCACATGTAAAGTTTAGCAAGCCAAAATTTTATGTATTCTATCTTCTGGGTTGCATTATATATGCTTGGTTATATATATTTTCCCCCCAAAAAATGCACCCAAGAAAATTTCTGATGCTCATTTTGGTGTCTTCCATTGTTTCAGGTTGTGGTTAGCGATCATGGCATGACTGAAGGGGGTAATCATGGAGGATCTTCATATGAAGAAACTGATTCATTTGCGCTTTTTATAGGACACAGTGTTGAGAGCCCATATCGTTCGCCCTATGACCAGAATGAAGCACTTCAAGTAAAGTCTAAACTTTATAAATGACATACATTTATGTTACTTATAGAGGTTCTGTATACCTTCTAGTTCATCTTTGGATGTTTGTGTTGCTCAATTTTTTGCATATTCTTTGAGCCAAGAAAACATTGTTGCTGTATGACATTTTCCAATCACTAGGCTTTATGTTATCCCCGTTCAAGCTGATTAGATAATTACAGTACTCTTAAAGATAGTCCGAACTCCCAAGAGATCAAAATACAACTCTGACATCTTTTGTCAGGTGGATCTTGCCCCAACTCTTGCTCTTCTACTTGGTATTCCAATTCCGAAGAATAATTTTGGTGTCGTGCTTCCAGAGCTTTTAAACTCGTTGACAGGTGATTTTATTTACCTTCCATTTTTGGTGCATTAAGGTTCATCATGAATGACAAGGAATATACAATGTATGCTTGTGAGCTTGAAATTATTTCAGTAAGTTATTTTCAGGGGTTGCCTAATCAGTTCAATCATATTCTTGGTCACATCATTATATTGAATTGTTTACAAATTATATTATTAAATATTCCTCTTAGCTTTCACTGTTTGGAGATTATGAGTGCATCTTGTTTCAGATGACCAGAAACTAAGGATGTTAGAGCTTAACTCATGGCAAATCTTAAGATTGCTGCAAGCACAAGTACCTGCCTTCTGCCTTGAAGATTGTATTAATTCGGAGGGCAGCATTGTACTTGACATCCTTCATGAATCTATTGAGAAAAAATTGTGCCATTTACTTTCTAAAGCCTTTTCTTCTCATCAATCCTCACGTCTTCATCGAGGTTCTGATTTCAAGTGAGCTTCTGCAGACAATCTCCTTAAACTGTTGTATCTTTGTTCATCATTGCTTAAAAAGAACTTGTTTCAGGTCTGTTAAAGCTGGGTACTATGGGACTGCTGCAGATAACTACTACGGCTTCTTAAGATATGCGAGTGAGTGGTTGTCTCACAGAGCAACCGATGTAATTTTACTATCTTTGCAGATTTGTACCTTAGTTTCAAGTAGCTTTCTGCTAGGTTTGCCTTTCTTAGGAATGACTTGTTTTCTTTTATTACAGAAACCATTCTATTTACTTGCCTCTGCAATCCTGCTGATGACGGTGTCATGCCTTTTCCTCACGAGCACTGTGTCTTGCCTATTTAAGGCACGGTCTCTAAGTCAAGTTGATCACCATTCAGAGTCATATTTGGATCAACGCTGGCACCTTGATGAGGTTCTTGTTCTTGCTGGGATGTTTCTCTATGTCATCAGTCTTGGTTCAAGTTCTTTTGTGGAAGAAGAGCAGTATACATGGCACTTTCTCACTTCTACTCTGTATTTAATATTTCTGACCAAGGCAGTCCAGTCAATGCTGAAAGGATCAAATCCAACACTTGGTCATAAAGCAGAAGAAAAGAGCTTTGACAAAAGTAACTTTTCCTATGCTACAAGCTTTGGATTAACCCTGGGTGTCATGTGGGGCCAAGGCTACGTCAGGCGCAGGCGCAACCGCGACGAGGAACGCGCAAACCGCGAGGGCCAGGCCGTTCCAGCGAGCAGTGGCTAGATGGAAAAAATAGGACTGTTAGTTTGTTAAGTCCCTAGAATCAAGGAGTGATTAGTTTCCTTTTCGGTTGGCCGCATGGCTATATGTATCCAGTGACAAGAAGTTTATGATTTAAGCAATGAATTATCCCTAAACTCTCCTCTCTCTCTCGTTCAACTAAGCCTGCGGCGGAGGGGTAAACCTCGCCGGAGAAGACGGATCGCGACTACGAGTTACGTAGTCGGGGTCGTGCTATCCTAGGGTATCAGAGAAATGTTTACAGGTTATGTACTATCCTTATTGTTCTTGTTGCTGGGAGCTTGGCATCAAGGTGGGATCAACTGGGTTCACTTTCCTGATATTTCAAAGTTACTGGCGCAAGCTGACTCTTCTGTTGTAAAGTCTCTTCAGATTATCTCAGTTCTTGCAGTTGTGGTATTGTTTTCAGTTTCACTCACTTTACTCAGAGCAAGACCAAAGTTTGTTATAGGAGTATGGTTGACCCACATTTCTTGTGGATTTTTGGTTCTGCTGCATATCTGGGCAAATCAGATCAGTACTTCATTACCAATTAACCATAGCACAGCATCAATAGCTCGACAGTTTTATGTCATTGCTAGTGTTTCAATATCTGCCACTGTTCTTGCTTCACCTTGGGTATTTCCAATGTTTTCCGCAGAAGCAGAATCAGCATCCTCTGGTTCTAGTCCTGTAAAGGCTATACATGGCATCAGAAATTCACCTTTTCTCACTGGAATAACATACACAGCATTCTGGGGCCTTCTGCAATTGCTTCTTCAACAACCAATCAATGCAATTCCTCTTTTCCTCATTTTCTTGCAAACAGTCTCGAGTGTAGTTCATTTTTCTCTGGATAAAACATTACATAAACAATGGGTACAGGTAAGTCTCTTGCATATTCTTGGTAATCTTTGCTCGCTCAGCATGATGTTTTCCTTTTTGAAACTCATGGCATCAGGGAAATAGTTGTTTTTTATTGACTTACTGTTGGCAATAAACCGTGTAGGTTGTGGCAATGCATTTCTTGGGAATGGCTGGTCACTTTGGTCTTGGGAATACAAATAGCCTTGCCAGCATTGATGTTGCTGGAGCTTTCATTGTAAGTTTTAACCAAGAATGCCTCAAGACCCCTTTTCTCCATTTCCTTCTGACTTGACTGATGAATTGTGACAGGGCATTTCAAGTTACTCCACAGTTCTGGTATACTGATGTTTATGATAACATATGCATCACCTCTGATGTTATACCTTGGGTTGGTCCTTCATGTATCGGTGAAAGATATTGATGATATCTCTACTCTACAGCAGTTGAAATGGAGCTATATTCTAGACAAAATGGTCACATTGCCATGTTTGTTTCCTTTGCTCATTAATTCTCTTGCATTGACTTCATACACCATTGTTTTGCTACTCATGAGGAATCACTTATTTGTTTGGAGCGTATTTTCACCAAAGTAAGTATCGAATAAATGTCTTACAAATAAACGCCTGCTCACTTCTCCGTTTTACATAGAGTACTCCGTATCAAAAATGTTGTCATTCTAGCTTTGTCATAAGTCAAACATGTTGACCACCAATTCCTGGAAATCCATATAGTTTAACATTATAAGATTTATGTTTTTAGGTTCACCATAGAATACTTTCATAATATATTAATATAGAATTCACATGTTGTTAAACTATATGAATTTCTAGGAATGGATGGTCAAAAATAGAAATACTTGACTTGGGACAAAGCTAGAATGACAACCTTTTTGAAATGGAGGGTACAATGTCGTGTATTATAAATGTATACGTTATGGTTTCTCTGTAAGCATCATATGCTGAAAGATAGATTTTGATGTAAATTGATGTAAAAATGTCAATCCTAGTTCTTGATTCCCCTGTCCTCTTCGAAAGCACATAAACAGTAGAAGTGACCCATGGTGATAGATTTTTCTAATGGATCGAATATGCATATTCTATCTTATATGCTATATACATACAATTTCACTGTTAGCTGACCCACTCAAATTCCTAAATGCCTACAGGTACCTCTATGTCTGCGCAGCAACAGTGTGCACATATGTCGGAGTATTCATCATAGCTATGACTGCAGTCTATAATTGCGCTGTTTTTAAGTTCCGGGCACGAAGCTACAGGGATAAATCCCTATAATCAGAGTAATGATTAGTTGTTCTGAATTAGTAGACATTTGTAAAAACTCGGAAAGGGCAGTATCTTGGCCTCATTGTACAACATTGTATATTTGTATTCCCATGTTTCCAGATCATGCAATCCCTGCAAGGGCCTATACACATTTCTCGTTCTCTTTACTAATTTTTTTCCCCCTTTAGGGATTAGATTTGTTCTGGACACATGCCGTAAGCACCTTCAGTATGAACAGGAGTACGGAGTATATTGTAGGCTGAGTCGTACTTGAGAGATCCATGTTAAGCCATTTTCGTTTATGGGTCTGGGCATTAAACCCTTTAAATCCTTATGGCATGTATCATCTGTTAGAGAACAATTCTATGAATTTCTGATAGCAAATATTGCACATTTTCACAGCTAGAAAGTGTAGGGTGTGACCTGAAAAGGGGTGAAACAAATGCGAGCAAATTTATTCAAATGAATCAGAAATGTTTACAATCACACTGATACACCAATGTTGAGCGGGATGGCTTATACCCCTGGGCTTATGTACAGTAGTTGTTGAATGTCGGATACAAATGGTACTGGTAAATAGATAGTGATGCGTCCATTCAATCTTTAGATTGCATGTGAGATACTGCTGAACAGCCCCCATATTGTTCATCAACAGTAACTGGTGGTTTAGCGCTTTGAGCAGATATCTTGATACATGATGTCACTATTTAAATCAATCAACGAACTTGCAGGCTATTTACATCATAATCTAAGCACGCCACTAAGTTTGGCATCTTTTTTTTTTTTCCCCCTTTGATCTTTGGAAAGGGAGAGAGAGGCCTTTAGCATATCACCACAGGCCACAGCCACACAATGTTTGCATCTTTGCACCGGCCAGCCATGGACTACTCACAGAAACTTTGATATTACACGACAGGATGTCCAAAAGGCTGCAGTTGCTGCTTGTACAATCGCAGGATTCTGGTAGATACTGTACAAGGACAACAAAGAATTAGTATGCGCAAGTTAAACGGATACAGCAATACTATTTAACACCTGCAGGTCATTGGAAACTTATCAGTACATGACTATATCTCCCTAGACAATGATACAACAATTTAAGTGCTTACAAAATGAAATGTGGGGAAGTGTTCGCAATGTAAATACTGTTACAAATACCCACATCCTGGATAAACGGAGGTATTAAAATACAATTCTATAATCAAGCTGATGCTAGCAATCTAAGTTGTTGGAATCTGATCTCCCCAATTCAGAAACTAAAAGGGTCACACAAGAGTGATAATGCCCAGCTGCCCTGATGTCCCTCTCTCATTGGGAAGAAAGGCTATTCCAACTAAAGGGTCCTAGTGTATCGCCCATTCAAGTATAGTGCCAAGCAGCCTAATGAGCAGCGAAGCTTGCTCATACTATATGGAATTGAGTTTAAGATATTTGTAACCTAGTCCGAAGATGCTATTTTGCATAGCTACATTGAAATGCTCGTGGAGTTCTGTCAAAATGCTTCTGATATTCTACACAAATAAAAGATAAGGCAGTGGCCAGAGGAATTCAAACATTCCTTGACGTGATCTATGGATTTCTGTACAAGGATTATGTCACAGGAGTAGTATCCATAATTACTAACAGTATTACTCCTATTAGCACGGGTAACTTACCCAATGGCCGTCGCGCTCCATGATGCCATATTGTAAACAACTTTCGTTCCATCCCATGCCTTCTGCAGCTTGCTTTTCCTCTTTTTAGTTGAAAATGTCTTGCTAAGAGCTGACAAAATTTAAAATGGGAGTCTTAATATAGGATTTCATATAATAAGTAATAACTGAACTCATCTCAAATAATGGAACACAATGTTAACCTTGTTGAAGTTGATTGGGTGTCGTGGTCCTGCATAATATGAATTTTGTGCCATCAATACTATAAAGATTCCCAAAAATTAACAGGTGATATAAAACCCTTTGCAGTGATGATAATCTAGCAGTCAATGCATGAAAACGAGAAACGAGACATCCCTTCCCAAATCAATATGACAGCAGAACAGATAAACTACAGTAAGACTAGCAGGGAGAAATCAGGAATAGATATTATGTTGGCTTGAGAACTATTGGCAGTCATACAATTCATCTTCTAACATAAACAGTATATAGACAAACAAAATGCACTTATGTACATGAGCAAATAGAAAGTGAACTGCACTTTATATACCTTAGTTTGTTTCAGTGAAAGCAAGTATGCAGCCATGAAGCATGCAATACCATCAACTATGTCCTCTTGCTTAACAAGAACATATCCGTCCTCTGAATCATCACTAACATTCATACTCTTATCATCCCATATATCTGCAGCACTTATAATATCCCATGATACCGTTTCATCCACTGTTACAAGAGTCATTGTAGAACTGTTCAGTTGTCAGGTTCAATTGAACGGTGTATACAGATAGGGGTTTCTAAATTGTGGACAAGACATTCACAAAAAAAGGTGGACAAGACAGTGCATGCATTCATTAAGGGCGTACCCAGTGCAGAGAGCTCTCTGCAGGGTCTGGGGAAGGGTGTTAGTGGCAAGCCTTACCCTCGCCTGTGCAATGCGAGGAGACCGCGACTCGAACCCGGGACCTTCCGGTCACAGGCGGTAAGACTCTACCGCTTGCACCAGGCCCGCCCTTCAGTGCATGCATTCATTATGAAAAACAATTACAGTTAAATTCTGAATCCAGAAAAGGGTAATTTTGCACAGCAAATGCACCTGCACCATGTTGATATACTGACTTCTGAAGGGTATCTAGCTTCTCAAGAAATTCAGGTGATTGAACCCTTGATTTCAGAAGATCACACAGCTGCAAGTTAATGAAGATGTAGAGACCTTAGGGAGGCTTGAAAACAGAAAGGAACAAGCACAGTGAAAGCCTGGTCTAATTTATGCTACCATCAATAGGTAACATGCATGACTGCCATATTTCCATAAAGCTGTTTAGACCACAGTTGAAGTGCCAGAAAACAGTTTAGCTCAAACTGATGACCAGGAAAACAGAATTTATAGTTGGTTTACGCTTCACACCATGAATAGCCTGGACCCATGTTGCACAAGGAATTCAGTGTAAGATGTCAACTATTCCAAAGTCTATGAATCATCTGCTATTTATTTATTTATTTATTTGCTAAATACATAATAGTGTGAAAAACTGTGGAATTACAAATCACTTACCAAAATACATACCAACTACCAAATTCATGTCCTCTATGAAACATTTCACTGGACTATGCAATCTCATATAGCAACTGCTTCGCTTCCAAGTTTGACCTTAAGAACCTATTACTATATCTGACAAACTGTCATGCCCAAGTCATCTGCTGACCCAGCACGTAATACCACAGAAACAGTAAGGCAATAATTGAGCTGCAGTCACTCAAATTTGTAGCAATTTCGTGCAAATCTGGCCTAGTCCTGGCACGCGGCAACCTCCGATCCAGTTAAACCGTTTAAGCTACTATCGCCCACATCTCAGAAAACGCCTAACTGCCGCAAAGTACCCCAATCAATCGAGCCACCAGCACCAATACCCGAACCCAAATTGATTTGCAGAGCGAGATCTCGTCCCCTCACCTCGTCCGCCTCGTAGTCGGTCTCCGAGGGAGGTGGCGGCGGCGCCCCCTCGTCCTCGTCCCCGCCGCCGTCGCCGCCCCCCTCCTCCTCCACCTCCACCTCCTTGAAGCTTGCCCCCTCCGCAGCCTCCCCCAGATCGGCCTCGTGCATCATCTCCAGCGCGCGCTGGCACTGCTCCAGCACCGACTCCAGCGTCCTCCGCCGCAGCTTCAGCTCCTCCGGCAGCCTCCGCCTCGCCGCCGCCTCCGCCAGAGGAGGAGGCTCGGACGAGGAGGCCGGCTCCATGGGAACCGAACCCTAGTCGCGCGGCGACCGGTGGCTTGTCTCGCTTCGCAACACCCGACCCCAACGGCGAAGAGGGGAGAGGGGAGAGGGGAGAGGGAGACGTGCGCGTGGCTGTGTCCGTGGCGGACTTCTTGTTCCGTCCGCGCGTGTTGTTTTTGGTGGCGGCTTGTTGGCGATAGGGAGAACCCACTGCCGGTAGGGTCGTTACGAAGCTAGGACACGGCGGTGGGCTGGTTGGTGGTGTTGCCCGCACGCTGTGCTCAGTTTCCTTGGAGGATGCGTGCTACTGAGTGGTGGGGACAAGGAGCGGGGCCACGTGTCATGGACTCGTTAAGGCTACGAGCTTGTTGTGTCATCGTAGGTGGGAAAAACTTACTTGGAGTGAAATTATTCCTACTAGCAAATGATTGGGTAGTTTAGACTTTAGACTATCTCCAATGGTCCAAACCCAAACACGGGACTTATTCTAAGGATTGGGTCACGTATATTTATTGGATGTTGGTATAGAAAGTGACCAACTAGTAAATATTTATAGTTTTGTCGTAGTTTGTGATCGAAGGTGGCCTAGTACTCAATGACATAGGGTTTATACTGGTTCAGGCAACGTGCCCTACGTCCAGTTTGAGTCGGTCGGTGACTTTATTCCTGAGCTCAGGTGCTCGAAGTTTGCAGTGGGGTTACAAACGAGAAGGAGAAAGATGGGGTGTGCAAGAGGTCCGGTCGGCTCTGGTCGAAAGGGCCGAGAGCGACAGGAGCTGCGCTATGAGCTAAGTGTTCAAGCGTGTGCTTGAGGTCCGAACCCGGTGGTTCTGTGGTTGTGAGCTAGCGAACTTGATCGATGTTGGTTAACTGAAAGGGGGCTCTCCTTTACGTTGGAGAGAGTGCATCCCCTTTTTATAGATAAAGGGGATGGCTTTACAAGTGAGAGGGTGAGGGTACGTATGCTACTGAGCTTTGTTGCCCATGCCGGCGGGTACAAGATAATGGTAGGTGCCCACAACACTGTTGATGTCACTGTAGAATGTCAGATGCATGTGGGAGGTTGCGTTACCTTCTTCAGGAATGACAGATGTCGGTACCTGCAAATACTGTTGATGCCTAGAGGCATATAAGGAGTTTCACCACGTTCACCTGATACGGTAAATCCCAGCGCCCACAACACCATCGATGCCTAGAGGCATGTGGGGGGCCTTACCGTATGGGAGTTAATGGCGCCCACAATCTTGAAGAGAAATGTTGGCGCCTACAATCTTTTGCTTGTGTCGAGGCGGTTGCGAGTCTTCGCTTCTATGCAGCGATAGGGTATGGTCCACAGGTATCGTGGTTTGACTTGTGCTTTGGCGTGCTTTCTCCGTTTGTCCCCTGGTCCTTTCCGAGCGGGAGTCCCCGGTCGGCTCTGGTTGCGCCAGTCGAAGAAGAGCGGTTAGCGGAGTTTACATGAACCCGGTCGGAGACGTGGGGTCAAGTCGGAAGTAGTGCCTAGGCCGAGCCTTCCGACGAGAGAGCCGTCCGGGCGGTGGAGTCCGGCGGCGTTACTCGGTTGGAGAGGTGGGGGCAGTAGTTGACGAGCGGACGCTGCCTCTTCGCCGGATTTTCCGATCGGTGATCGACCGCTCCTTTGGCTCGTTGTTCTAGACTCTTGGGCCACCCATGAGTTGCGTCTTTGTCTGCTAGGGCGAGCCTTGGCATGGAAGCCGGTCCCAGAGGGACCGGGTTTATGAACCCGACAACCGGGTCACCACCCAAATTTCCTCCTCCGCCGGCGAGATCGCCCCAGCGCCTCTTGCGGGCGCGAAGCTCGCCGCCACGCCGCCCGTCGTCCTCCACAAAGATATGTCGCCCCATGCCAGCAAGCTTGGCCATGCGCTGCGGGTGGAGCAAGGCCGCAGGCGGATCTCACCGGGGCCGGTCCGCTCACACGGAGGCGTGCGACGAGGACGGAGGCGGAGGCCACCCGCACGGCGCAGCTCGCCCGGCGCCAGGTGGAGCACGCGCCGGCCGCCCATGGTGGCTCGTTCATCCGCCGGCGTCGGATCCGCCTTGGGTACCACCCGCCCAGCGGAGAACTCCTAGAGGCCTGCGCGGCGTGGCGGCGGAAGTCGCCGGAGACGTTCATGACCTCATGGCTGCCGAGGATGGGGAGGAACGCTGCGTTGCGGGCCTCGGCGGAGAGCGCGAGGCGGCGGAGGAGGTAGAGGAGGCGGGCTCGTCCATGTGATCGAGGATGTCGCCGAGCTGCACGGCAAGGGTGGGCCCCACGGCCCATGAGGCGGAGGCGGAGGAGGGGGAGTCGGGGCTGCTGGACGGGGGCCAAATTCATGTCCTCGCCGAGTCGGTAGCGCCCCGCCGCGGTCCTCGCCGTCATCTCGTCCGCGGGCCCACCGCTACGGGCGCAAGATTTTTGCGTCGTCTCTCCTCGACGACGCTTTTTTGCGTTCTGGCTGGCCTCGGATGCAAAATGGGTCCTTTGTCTGGGTCTTCTGTTGGAGCATGTTTTTAGGTATGCAAAGTACTGTGAACCACCTATTTTGCGTTTGGGTTGTGCCGTTGGAGACAGTCTTAGTAATGTGTGAGAGGGATGCTAATGGTAACCCATTGGAGATTTGGAGATGACCCATATTCTTTTTTTAAGATGGTGAATTGCTTTAAATATGAATCATTTTCTATGCCAAATATGCTAATATATTCTCAAGGACATCTGGTTGAGACCACTTCCTTGGTTCACAAAGAAAGACCTTATAACATTTAAAATTTATCCTAAAAGAAGACTCTATAACACTGTTTATCACTGTCAAGAGGACCTCTGAGAGAAGTCATTTTGTAGGACGGAGGAAGTATGCTTAAGCGACCAACAGTTTTATTAGTGCCAATGCCAAAGTCACTGCCCTGCCCACTCAGTCACACAGCAACAGGAGAAATTTGCATCAGAACTGGAGGTTGACTCTAGGCGCTATAGGAACAGATTCTCAGTTGCTTGAGAAACTTAGAGCAGATTTTGAAATAAACCGCCTTATGTGAAAACCTTTTCGCCAAGATACATTACACAAAAACATATTCTACATCAGATTCTTCTACCGATGATATAATGACTAGGAAGTTACACTCCCCCTATAATCAAACAGGAATTACATCTTTGTTCTATAAGGAAAAACGAGTACAGGTGCAAGAGGTATGTACAAGGTAGGGGGGTGGATGTCAAGGTTAATTTGACCAGACATGCACCAGGCCTTTGCTGTTTCCGGTGTAGATTTCATTGCGGTCCTCATCGTAGAAGAGAGCAGTGATGTCCTCAAGAGCTTCCGGAACAGTGCTGCGGATGGTAGATCTGCTGTTGTCGCCTCTCTTTCGAGGAGCAATTGTGAGTAGGGTCACTGGGGGAGATCTTGGCTAAGCACTTTCCAGTAAAGACGTTGCTCATGTTAATTGATCCCATGGACGAAACTGAAAAATTCAGCAGGTTTATTTTGATGACTAGAGGAAGTATAATCAAGAAATCACAATTTAGAGTGGAATTTAGCTATACCTTCTCCAGCTTCACTGTCAGCACAATCTGTGCTCTGCTTTGAAACTTTGCAATATGAGATAATCAAGTCCTGGTCAGCAGTGATGTATATATTGTTTGTATTGCAGTTAGGATGCCACAACTCATGGTCCTCAAATGATGTAACTAGCTCTCCACGAAAATTCCAGGCTGCAACTGTCCTATTGCAGAATGTCAGGAATAGATTGTTTTCATAGAGAAAGATGAATGCTGAGGGAGTCATGAACTCGGTTTTGTTGACTTCAATTAGATCGGAGTGCCTAACCTGGACAGGAACTCGAGTCAGTTCGAAAACGAAATGTAAATTGCTGCTCCCACAATGAAAGAAAGAATTAACAAGAAAAAACTAATGGTGGCCTACATCGATAATCTGGAGATTTTCCTTGTCTCGCTTCACGAGAAGCTTTTCATTGAACTGCTCGATGAAATCAACCTTTCTATTTCGATGCAGCAGCTGATTGAAGGTTTTCAGTGGAGTTCCATCCTCAATTGACAATATAGTCAGTGGAACATGACAGTTTGTCTTCTGATAAATCACGAGCATGATTCCAGGACTGATGGAAAAGAATATGGGTAAGAAACGTGATATGAACTACCTAAATCAAAAAATGGATTTATCAGTGATCAGTGACAGCAAACCTTATCTTTATCTCCTGGATATTCTTGTCGCATATGGAATACAGAAAGTTGTAGTTCTTTAGATCAAAAACTTTGTAAGTACTGCAAAGAAGAAGCAATTAAACAATGCACATGCTTGTTGTCATACTGTTGAGCAAAAATGTCACTTACCTATCCTGGGCCGAAAAGGTCAATACTTTGCCATTAACATCATCAAACTCAACAAAACCAGGATATTTTAGTGATTCAGTTTCAAATAAAGGAAATCCATCATTCCGTTGACCTTTTCTGATGTACCTAAAAAATTTGCAACCAGAGAAGACAAATTAGTTTAAATGAATTAAAGGAACTGCTGATTTAAAAATTACTAACGATCAGATCATGTCTTACAAAAAAAAGTAGCAACTAACTAAAAAATTATACCAGCATACAAATACATGATGTCCCTACTGATATTTTTTTAGAACACATCAATTAAGAAAAAAGCACATAAATACTAGCGCAAATAATATTGCAAACACCGGAAGATCAACAGGTTAGCAATAATAAATTCAAAATACTTTTGAGTACTTCAAGAAGAAATGGATGAGGTATCTTACTCTATAGGTGTTGTTCTGCACTTCAATGAACTGAAACGGTCTGATTCATAAACTGAAACGGCGATAAGCGACTCGTTCTAGTTGTAAAACAAGCTCCTAATAACTTCATCAGGACTTATATTCAAATAGCATATGCGTTTGTTTGTTGCTGTCAACACAATAAGAAGGTTTATCAGGAACATAAACAGAGGGGAATCATTATAGAAATTCCGCAAAGCATGAGACTTACTTCGATTAAATGCAGCGCATAGACCTGACTGTGAAAGTGCAAATATAACATCCTTTGCTGCAACAATTTCAATAATTTTTGTTCTGGTCCACAAAAATGGCAACTGGACAAGAAAATGGACCTCATCATCATAGGTGTCATATTCTTCCTGCACAGTCAATTTCAATCAAACGTGTAAATTATAGAATATCTAAACCATACATTGCAACACAGCAGATAGTACACAATGAAGTCCTTTTCATTTACATATCACAAAAGTTTTAACATTGGCTTGTGCACATGTACTCCCCACTAGAAAATTTCCGTACTATAGATTCCGCCATTTTGGATGACAAATATAAGAACATTCATATATGAAAAGATTCCAAACTGGAAATTGTGTTTCTTCTCGGTACCTTCCTATGCAGCACGGATACGGATACACGTATCGGTATCGGAAGGATACAGATACGCGGATACGACAATTTCTCAAAAAACACGATACGCGGATACGTTTTACTATTTTTAATAAAGTAAATAATAATGCAAATTAAAATTGTCGAAGTGTAAAATTTGAGTAATCACTAATTATAAGTTAGTGCATACAATTATATATGATACATCACCAGATCACCTTTTAGGCCAGGAGATCCAAGTCCAAACTATACTAGATGAATGTGCAATTACCAAGTCTATCTAAAACAGTAAGTCAGGAACAAAGCAAAGCAACAAGTGCAGAAGTAGAGTACATCGAGAATGAAAAAGGGTGTACTGATGGAGGTCGGCGGAAGGCTTTGCTGTTGAGTGCTGAATTGTCCTCTTCCCTGCATCTCTCCCCTGCATTGCGGGAGCTAGCCGTGTCCTTAGTGGACTGGTGGGAGCTCCCAGCGCAGTGCTCTCTAGCGTGACGACCTGGAGGACGAGAGGTCGATTGATGGCACAGAGGGGGCGGAGGCTTGTCGCCGGCGGCCGGCGAGATCTCCTGCGCGGGAGGCGGCGCGCGTGCACAGGATGCGACGCGAGGGAGGGGGGGCGTGTGCAGGATGCGGCGGGGGCTCGTTGCCGACCACCGGCGAGCTGCGGAGCATCTCTTGCACAGGAGGCGGCGCCCGAGAGCAGGGGCTCTTGCGTGTGGATGACTGGACGTGTTGTGGCGGCTGTGTAGGGTTACGGGAGAAGAAAGGCAGCAGGCGTGGGGAGTGGCCGAGCGGTCAGGTGGGTTGGGACGTATCGGACGAGCCTAACGTATCTAAGAAGAGTATCCGAATTATAGTTGATTTATTTTTTTACGGATACTTCGCTGATACGTATCCAACGCGTATCCATGCCGTATCGGTATCGGATACGTATCCGATACAGGATACGTCCCTTCCTTGGCGTATCGGGGTAACGTAGGTACCTTCTATCCAGAGTAGCAAACAATATTAACTCAAATTTGAAACAGAAGAGGGAAAAAGCAACGCTTCTAAGTTCTAAGTCAGCACACTACACTCAGTTTCTTCTCCGTGCCCCTCCAACTCAGTCAACCATGCCATTTGGACAGTAAACAAAATACATATCATACAATAATTTAATACTCTGGTATGGTAACCACAGAAATGAAATGCAACATGTCAGAATTACTATCGCTCACATGTTGGTGTTGGCAAGCTCATGCTCACAAATGTGGTACAGTGGTAGTTTGGTTATTGCAAAATCCTTTAAATGATATAAAAATCTCGATATTACCAACAAAGGACTGACTTGGTTTTCTGAGAAAAAAAATCCACCAAGACCAGGATGAAAACCCACAAGTTGCAGTTTTACTGACATTTAATAGCCTTCCAGAATCCTCACAAACAGTCTTCATACATTGTGTGGATAAATGTACACAAAGTTAGGAGCGTTTGAATGTTCCGAAACTGAGAAAAGAGAAAAAGAAAAAAAATGAGTAATGTAGATTTCAAAATCCTAAGGTGTGTTCATTCTCAGCGCATTTTGCCTTGCAAACTGACAATAGCATGTAATGGAAGACTGTCTATTGAATTTGTGTTATGCAGAATCCATGTCAAAAAAAAAAAAAAAAAACAGAAGCCTACATAGTATCAAGCTACAAGCTGATTTCAGTCAAAAACATGCAGTCCGAACAGGGTAGGACATTAGGAATCAATATTCCTCACAGTCGGTACTCCCAGATCTAGCCAGACCCAGAGCCTCTACCCACACCCTGTCACAAGCAACCCCAGTTCACCGAAGTATCAGTTATTCATTTTATAAACGTTATGCTAACATCTACACAAGTACCGCCATTTCATAACAAGGATCAAATAGAACAGGACATTCCTAACAGCCTATATAAGGGTTACCGAACTATCAGTTATTCCTGTCTCAGCCGGCGTCGCCACTAGATTCTCGGACAGCCTACTACAGCTACGAGGGGCCGCGCGGAGGACAGACCTGGAGCTGGAAGTTGCGGAATTTCTCGGGGCACGAGAATGCGGACGAGGAGGGCGCCGCGGGCCGCGGCGGGCGTCGGTGGCCGCCGCCGATCTCGCGGCGCGCGACCTTGTGGACGGAGTCCGAGGGGTCGCGGCGCGAAGGCTTGCGGCAGGTGGAGCGCAGGCCGGCGGAGAGCCACGCGCGGCGCCGCGCGGCGGTGATGCGGAGGCGCACGCGCAGGCCGGGCTTGTGGTGGTGTTCCATGGCCTCGCCCTGGCTCTCGCCGGGCGAGGTGGGAGCTGGTGGCGGCGGGCGGGCGGGCGGGAGGGAGGGAGGGAGGGAGGGAGGGGAGGATTCAGGGGGCTAGGGCTTTGGGAGCGGAAGCGCCATGGGAGGTGTGGGGAGCACGGAGCAGAAGTGTGTTGAGGGAGGACGATGGGCGATGGGGGTTACGGACGGCGACGACAGAAAATCAACAGGGTCAGTGTCCACAGCTGTGCATACTGTACAGTACGAGCTCTTTTCATTTGGCAGACATATCTCCGGTCAAATGTCTTGAGCCTTTTCCCGCCGGCATCCCATTATAAAAAATGGTCGCGTCTACGTGCTATTAAAAAATTCAAACACACTTATGTATCATGATACTTTACTTTTTTTCTCCCAAACCATTTAATTCACCTTTTTTTTTTGCCATTTGCCAGGCCTGACACGTGGGCCCAGTTAGTGAAAACGTCCAAAATGCCCTTCTATCAAGACGTAAACTGCTCTCTATATTTTTTCCCATCGGCATCTTCTTCCGACCACGTGGCCCTCTCCACGATGCACCGGCCTCCCGACTCCGGGGACCCCCATCTCGACTCCGCGCGAGCCTCCTCCCAACTCCAGTGAGCCCCTCTCGACTCCGACGAGCCCTGGCTCCCTCTCTCCTCACATCCGCGATGCGCTGGTCAAGGTTCTGCGACCCCGTCTTGAATGTCCGCGATCTGACCTGACCCCGATCCCGTGCGCGCGTCCGCTCAAGCCAAGGTCGTCCGCCTCGCCTCAGCCCGGCCAAGCCATGGCCGGACCGAAGAAGACGGCGCGATCGAGGGCCTCGCTCAGGTCGCATCTCGCAGCTGTTGGGCTCAACGACCGGGGCCGAGCTCCCCAAGCGACCAGTGCCTGCTGGTTCCGACCGCACGCCGAGCAGCTGCCTCCTCCCTCCAAGACTTTATCATCTTTGTCTTGGTGTCTGGTGCCTAGGAGGCGACAGGTCGGGCGGCGGCGCGTCCTCGACTTGAGGCGGACTTTGGCGCTGCAGCAGAACTGGGCTGGGTTCGGCGAGTTCAGGTGGGTAGGGAGCTCACGGCGGGCGGTCGGCGCGACGCGACCACGCAAGGCGCCGCAGCGACCATCGCGACCATCGCGCTGGCTTGGTGGGTGGCCGAGTCGATGGAATCATTGGGTGCCGCTCGGTGGCGCCTGCCGGCGATGGAGGCTCAAGGCGGCGAGCGGCTAGGCTCTCGCTTTGACCTCGACGTCCGTGGTAGGCTTGCGCCCCCACCGACGCCACAGTATTGTCTCCGCCCCCTACCCTAGCGCACGCGAGGCTCCCTGGCCCCGGCGCACGGTGGAGGACGGGACGAAGACGACCGGCGGAGGAAACGAAGAAGGGCACGATCAATAAGCAACGTGAGGGTATTTGGGACTTTTTTCCAACGCAGATTAGACAGATGGAGATGGAAAAGTGGACTAATGGCTTGGGAGGCAAAAAAAAAAAGTGCCATGGCACATAGGTGCGTTCGAACTTTTTAGTGGCATGTAGGCCGCGACCATCTTTTATAATGATACACAGGTAAAAGGCTCAAATGTCTTCCGAGTCTGATGTGCTAAGGGCACGTTTGGCATAGTTCACAACAGCTCCATGAGCTGTTTTTTTTTTTGCTAGACACTCGTCTGCAAAATAGCTTATCCCAACTTTATCTTCCAAATTATAGTTATTCTATTCATTGTTTCATCACGTGAAGCTGTTTTGCCAAACACTCGTTAAAAAACAACTCAACTTCAACAAAAAGTTGCTCATGAATCTATTTTGTAAAAAAAAGCTTACATGCTGAAGCTGAGCTATGCCAAACGGGACCTAACTTTTTACCGACTTTGATTTGAAATTATTTTGACTACTATTTTCAACAAACATTTAGGGCAATAGTGTACAGTTGTAAAGTGCACGAAAATGGTTTTCAAAATAAACCTGCCTATGTGATATCTATAAATAGATAATTTATAGTCTATTGGCAGTCAATTCTTAATGTACATTGAACTGGACTTTTACTGCACTCGCTCATTGTTAAGGCTAGCAACGAATAAAATCCATTAACGATGTAAGGAAACTAATCAAGAGGATAAACAAATCATGGACATTCATGCAAGGAAAGAGAGATACTAAGAAGCTGACATGGTGTGGGTTTGTTGTGGTAGAACCTGTCCATCTGGATTAACGGCCTTATGCTTTTAGTGGTAGGCGACGTCCTCATTGACAGTGAGACGTCTATGATGACTACTTCATGAATCTCAAGATATGTCTGGCTCAATCCTTTGAAGGTGTTTACAGGGGTAAGATTTACGTACGTGTATTCATAGGGGTAAGTGTGCATGCATGTTGTGGGCGTCTACATTGTCCCGACTTGACTAGCGAATGTTGGTACCATTGGCACCGTGGATTGTTGTCAAACGGGTGTCACTCGGGGTATTTGGATCTAGGAACTAAAGTTTAGTCCCGGTTATATCGGACATTCGGATGCTAATTAGGAACACTAAACAAGGGCTAATTATAAAACTAATTGCACAAATGAAGACTAATTTGCGAGACGAATTTATTAAGCCTAACTAATTCATCACTAGCACATGTTTACTATAGCCGCACATTGTCAAATCATTAACTAATTAGATTTAATAGATTTATCTCGTAAATTAGTCTCTATCTATACAATTAGTTTTTGTAATTAATCTATATTTAATACTCTAAATCAGAGGACTGAAACGTAGGAGTCAGGTGAGAAACGTTTCACTCGAAGCTGGTGGTGAAGACAAGACGTTCCAGGGCCGCTGCAGAGTAAATCGAATCAGGCCTCGAAGCCCAAGGATACGCGTAACTGGGCCTGAATGGCTTGTGTGATGATCGGGCCGTGTTGGGTGTTCCTTCGTGGGTACCGGGGAAGATGAAGAGGAAGCACCGAAGCCCAACTCGCCGGCAACTCCGGTGCCATGCCGACGGCGAGCAATAGGTCGACAGAGATGCATGCATTATCCTGTAAAAAATTGTATCATCAGTACCAGCAGTGTAGTGTGACATATGTGTTCCACTTGGCCATCCGCGTTGATGCTCAGGAGGAATGAAGGCGCCATTGCTGCATCCCCGAAGGCCGAAGCGACGAGCGAGCTTTCTGCAGCTGTGTGCCGCCGGGTAACCCGAACCCGAGCTAGCTAGAAATCATGTGCGGGGCCGGCCGGTGACCGCACAGAAAGACGGTGTCCCACGCGCGTCCGACCGACATGCAATGCCATGCAACAGGTAGAAGATGGAACGGTCGTCGTGGTCGCCCCACTAGCTTGATTTAACTGCGCTGACACTTGTCCGTGCCGGCCTGCGGATTCCAGCCGTACCACTAGATTCCCGTGACGCTAGTAAACGAACGAAGATTAGCAGCATCAAAGCGATGGCCCCCAGCCGTGCACACCCCACAGGCTACACAGGACGAATGATCGGCACAGCGGCTAGCCCGACCCCGGCCCCGGGCCCCGGGAATAAACTCTCCAGTCACGGAGCCGTGTACGGCCGCCACAGTCCAGGCTTCCAGCAGCCACATGACAGGCTGGCCGGGCTCTCGCCTGGGCAGCAGGCGTATCCGAAGCAGCCCGGCCGGCGTCGGCGTCGCTGTGCCTGAGACGCAGCGGCTCTGCGAGCTAGCTGCTGCACCGAACATAAATGCGGCACGTACATGCGTGTAGTAGCCCTTCTGCATCGGGTGCCACTGACACGATCCATCCCAGGTCGGTGTAAATGAGCTTATTAATTTCAGGCGGGCAGAGGCCTGCGCGCGCAACGGACGCCGGCCCTGCGCGTTCTCGGGCAGGCCTTGGATCCCCGTCCGTACCTGCGGCTGCGCCGGCACATTCTCTCGGACAGAGCAGAGCAGAGCGCACCGTCGTCACGTAGGCGATGCAAAAGAACCGGATCCTTGTCTGGGTTTCTTGTTGGCACGACGACGCGCCGCTCGGGCCCTGCGCCGCGCACGCTACCGTGTCCGCCCGCTGCTCTCGCGGAGGCGGCCGGGCAGCGCGTCAATCGTCATGTTGCGTGCGTGCCCTTGCGAGATGCCACCTCTCGGTGTATATATGTTCTTGTCCTATACTACACGGATGGCGGTGTGACGCACGCAGCAATGTCTCATGTCTGTGATTTAGCTGCGCTGTATTTACGCGGTAATAAAGCCGCGCCGCGCGCATGCATGCCGCTTCGTTTTAGGCGGCAGCAGAGGGAGCCAGCATAGAGCCAGCATAGTTAACCGCCGACGCCAAGTCAACCGGTCCACAGCCCAGAGCCAGCATAGTTAACCGCCGACGCCATCGGTCCTCCTGGCCCACGCCAAGTCTGCGCGCGCGGCGCCGGCCGGCCCAACCGTCCAGCCCCGGACCCGGAGACTCAGAGGCAGAAAAAACCAAGGGAACCCGCGCGTGCGCCCCACGACGCCACCACAGTCCACACGGCCTCGCCTCCCGTCCCGTCCCCGGCCGCCCTCCCCACCACAAAGTAAAAAACGATCCGGCCCCGGGACCGGGAGCCTCCGCCACGCGCACGTCCCATTTCATTTTTCTTCCCGTCCCACGCGTGCACCGCGCGGCGCGCAGGAGCCAGGAGGTGGTGGCCGATCGACGTGACGAGACCACCAGGCCGCGAGCGCGCCCGCACGCCGGCCTCTACGACGGGCGATCGACCATGCCGTGCGACTCGGGCCCCGGCGCGGCGGACCTCTGGGCGATGGCCGCAGAGCTGGAGCGGCAGTTCGCGGGGTACAAGCAGCGCCTGGCCGAGCGGACGGCGACCGGGGCTGCCACCACCGCGCGCGAGCACGACGACGAAGGTGGCGGGGACGGCGCGGAGGAGGATGATGATGATGATGAGGCGGGAGGTGATGGCCGCTGCGACGGCGGCGACGTGAGGGGCAGGATGTACGAGGCGTACGTGCGGCGGAGGGACGAGCGGCTGCGCGACGGGTGGCGCGCGCGCATGGAGCGCAAGGAGGCCGAGGTCAAGGCGCTCTGGGCGCAGCTCGAGCTCGCCGCCGGCCGCGCCACACCGGAGAGGGCGCCCGCCGGCGGTGACCCGACGACGACTACGGCGACCGCGACGGACGGAGATGATGAGGTAGGTAATTCCGTTACGTGCCACGCGAAGCTACTGCTAGCTATGTGCACGTTTCTTTGGCCTGCGGTTGTTGTCACGACACGTTGACATTTCCCATGTGCTTTTTTCCTGGGCGGTTCGTTTTTTTAACGGTTTCGTCTCGTTTTTAGAAGAAACTGGGATACTGGAAATGGGAATGGGAGGGAGGGGCCGAAACCGAAAGCCAGAAACGGTTTTGTTAGAGAGAGCGGCACCGTGGGAATTAGTCTGAACACAGGTTGCCTGCTTGATTACTTGCATCCAATCCAATTATCCAAGTCTCCCAGAGGCGTATGCAGCTGGTGTTCAATGATTCCAGCTGATCCTTGCGATGACCGTCCAAGCTATAAGCTATTGCTATGAGCGTAGCTTAGGATGGGCGACACACATAGACGTCACATCTTCCTGTCATTGCCGTTCGTGCGTTGTTGACATCCGGCAAAAAGTACACTTCCTTGCTTGCCAGAGATTGGATCGATGATGCTCCAGTTCACACCCTTTTTTCTCCCCAGCCACTGTCAGCGTTGCAAACAAGCATAACATTTCTGAGAATTATGTATTTCAGTTTCCCGAAATTCCAATGAAGGTCTTGTTTGGATGCGCATGTATTCATCTCAATCCACGTGTGTTGGAGTGGAATGAAGTGAATCTAAGTGCACAAAAAAAAAAAAAGAGAGGACGAAATCGAGATTCCGTGCGGCAGTAAAGCACGTCACGCTCTCCTTGGTGTTGTTCAAGTGCCCCGTGTGAACTGTGAAGGCGTACCCTGGCCTCTCCTTCCTTGTCCCTTACTCAGGGGCCTTCCTTGTCCCTTACTATAGAATGAGGCCTTGAAACCAGGCCAGCGTCACGTCCACATATTCGTTCTGGACAGCAACCTATAGAAGACTATAGTCATGACCTTGTACGCGACGCTAATGAATGTGCGTGGTACAGACTACAGACTACAGACTACAGACTACAGACTACAGACTACAGACTACAGAGAGTGTACCAACGGGCGTCCTGCGTGTTGCGAGCATTATCACTTCTCAGTTGCGTCAGCTATCAGCTCGTCCGTGGAACGGAAGAGTCGACGATTCATTCTTTGGGGACACCGTCCGTGTCGGCTGCCGAAAGTTGAAGAGATGTAGTACCTAATTAAACACGTTGCGACTTGCGTCGCTGTCGTCTTGGTCGACTAATTTGACCGGTAATTACAGCAGTCAAGTAGGAGTAGTAACTTTGGACTGCTTTCCCGTGCAAACTTTTGCCTATCAACAAGTGCTTGCTTGCTTCGGACTGCTTTCTTATGGGCCGGACCTTATTCACCGGTGCATTTTCTTTTTTTGCTTGTATATACATGAGAACTTCAGTGTGCATATCCGGGCAGACATCTAATTAAAAAAAAAACTCAGGGCAGACATATAAATTCGACCGTCCATAGTTCAGGCTGTTCAGCATTTGACTATCTGCTCTGTGAGATTCTCACTCCATAGTTCAGGCTGTTCAGCATACTCCACTAGATTAGCTAAATGTTACTCTTCATGTCCTGTCAGTCTATGTTTTATCGGTATTCAAATCAGCATGGATTGATATATTTTTTCTCTTGATTTCTGATAATTAGATCGATACCTAAAGTTCAAATAGTTTACAAATTAAAGCAGCCAACTTTGAGGAATTTTAATTAAAAACCCATAAGAGATTCTGAGTCAAATCCAGTTAACATGGGTTCTATGCTATCCATTCTATCAACAGACCAAACATGATTTTAGGAGCTTAGTATGTAACCTTTTGAATTTATAAAAGAGGTGGAAAAAACAAAAAAAAGGACCAAAGCAATAGCATTCCCTAATTTTAGTTAAAAGTAGCGAGAGAGATTCTCCAAGGGTCTTTTTTATATGCACTCTCTAAATCATCATTTATAGAGCCATTATAATAATCTCCCTCTGTATATTTTCACCCTCCAACAATTTCTCTATATTTTGTTCGGCGTTTTGGAGAACCAACTCCGTTCTTTGTCTTTGGTGGATGAGAAACTAAGAATAGAAGATGAAAATATTTAGAGGTCTTATTGAAGAAATTGTTAGATGATTTTTTTCACCAAAATTTATATATAAAACGATATAAAGAGCCTTTTGGAGTTGCTCTTAAAACAACCTGCGTGTCATTTTCTCCGTCAATCTGAAGATCAATGGTTCATCCATTTTTCTCAAGTGTCTTTGTCCATAGAAAAGGGCATTTTGATATCTATTTTGTAGAATTTGATTTGAGGCCTGTTGTTTCTTTGTTTGGTCCATAGACACGGGAAGTACAAATTATTATTTTACCGGATTATTTGAATTCTCACTTCAAAGTCGAGCGGGTGTCCGTACGTTCTGCTTTTACTATATGGATCACTGTGCAATCGTGCAGAGGAAAACTGAGCGGAACGACGACGACAGAAGGAGAAGCTCATCGGACGCGGTTCTTGCTCCGAGGAGGATCACCGGAAAGAAGCACGCGCGGACCAGGAGCTTCTCGTCGTCCATCAGCACGAGCAGGAACCGCACCGACGTCGGGAGGCGGCGGTCGCTGTCGCAGCCGCCGTCAGAGCCGGACGCCTCCAGCGGGGAAGCCAACAAGGAAAGCCCCGGCGGTGTGGCGGCAACGACCGCAGCCACGACGAGACCGAGGACGTCTTTGCGGCGCAGGAACTCCTCCGTGAAAGGGCACGGGTCCGCGAAGCAGGCGGCGGCGGGGCCGAAGCTCCCGCGGTCTCTGCCCCGACGGGATAGCTCCGGCGGACCCGAGGATCTCGGTAGGGGTGTGGTGGCGCCGGCGGTGGTTCAGGCGAGCGCCGATGCGGCTGTGCCGTCCGTGCCGAGCCATTCGACCGAGTATGCTGCCCCTGGCGGAACCCCCAGGACTTCTCCGACGAGGATGTCGTTTGCCGGCAGGGACGACGACAGTGGCGTCGGCACTGGTGCGGAGAACGCGCGAGCCACCTCGCCGGAGCCAGATCGCGGTGCGGTGGACGAAGCTGTGCTACGCGGCGAACCTGAGGCGAAGAACGCTGGTGTCGAGGAACACGGCGAAGAGAAGCTCGACGCCGACGGGGAGGTCACTAGTGACTCGGAACCCGAACCGAGCTACGTCTACATCAACAAGGACACCGCCGAGGAGCAAGCCATGGCGGCGCTCTCTGAACCTTCGAAACTGTCCGGTGTGGATGCCGCGCTAGATTCCGACGTGAAGGCAAGCGAAGAGATGCCGGCGGCGCCAGCACCAGCCGAAGCCACCGCGGCTGCAGCAGAGATCGCGACGACGAACGCCGAAGAAGCGCCGGCAAGGGAGAGCTCCGACGAGTCGTCTCTGTCTGTCAGGTCGTCAGGGCCGAGCGCGCGGCCGTCGTGCAGCTCGCGGGACCAGTCCATCGAGAGGCTGCTAGAGGCGGACGCCGTCCTCGTGAGGAAGAAGCGCGAGGAGCGCGACGAGAAGAAGAGCGCAGCACCGGCGCCGAGGACGCCGCCGGGCAGCTCGGGCAGCAGGTTCTCCGGCGCGGCGCGGTCCCCGAGAGAGACGACGGTGAAGGGATTCAAGAGGTTCCTGAGCTTCGGGAAGAAGCACAGAGGGAGGGAGGCCACTGTCATCGACTGCACGTCGCCGTCCGTGCCCTCGCCGGCCGACGACGACAGCGGCAGCGCCAGCGGCAGGTGGCAGGCCGCTGGTGGGTCCATCAAGCCCAGGATGGGCTCCTCAGATGCTGCGGACCATGCCTATCCGGTATCTCCACAAGGTACTCCTTTCTTTTCAAATTCATTCGTGCCATTTGACATTCTTATTTGTGTTTCTAGAAAGAAGAAAGTGTTCCTAAAATTTCAATACCACTAATACAAAGAGGAGCAATTCTTCCGTGTTTTCGAGATTTTTTTACAGGCTTGTTAGTTCATAATCTGTGCTCTTTAACCTATGACACTTACTACTGAACGGCTCGATATACTTTCAGCAGCTTGCTCTCTGCAAAGCCTCGTAGCTGCCTCTCCTGCAAAGTCTGAACTAGCTGAGATAGTTCCACAAGAAAAATCGCCAAAAGGTAAATATGCCAGCTTGTGTTTCCTGTAAATAAAGCCGTGTGGTTCAATCTGATTTTGCTATTCCATAATGTCCATTCCATCAATGCTTTCTGATTTTGCTATTGCAGTTCATCGTCGATCGTTCTTCTCGTTCCGATCACTCAACTGCGGTAGGGGCTGATGACCCTGCTGATCCAATGCATTGGGAATGTAGTTACTGTAAATTCTAGAAACGAGGGGTTTTGTGCTTGATGTGTTATTGCCTTGTGTCTGATGTCTGTATGATTTGTGTAATCTGTCATCTAGCCTGGCGTATAAATTAATAGTAGGTTTACATATACTATAGATCCATATCGTGCGTGAAGTGTTTACCTTCTTCAGTTTATTCCGGTGCTCTTATCATAGTTCATTCATGAATTGTCGCAATCATAATTTGTCATCTGTTTGACAGTGGCAGCGCCATGACAGAGAATAAAACACTTTTTGTATACCCATTGAGAAAGAAAGGTCAAATGGAGGGAAAATCTTGCCATGGAATAATCACGAAACGGGTGACTCATGCAGTTAAGATTGACAAGCAGGAAGCATCCTGCATTTTTGGATATGACCTTACTCCTTCTGTCTAAAAAGATGCAATTATATATTTAAAATAAGTTTAGCTAAGTTTTGAGAAAAATACCATTAACATTTATGACTAAGATAGATATATTATAAAAATATATTCCATGTTTAATCTAATAATACTAATTCAGTTCCATAAATATTAGTGTTTTATTTAAATATAGATTTAGTCAAATTTAAAACCGTTTGATTTTTCAAAACAAAATCACATTCTTTCTTAGACAAATGGAGTACGGACTATATTAAGAATAGCCAAGCAAAAGACACCGTGGTACCTCAAACAGTGCCAACACAGTTAGCTATAAGGATGGACAAATTGAATGGACGGAGAGAAAAGCCCGTTAATAGAGTCTATACTTATTCCAGTATACATGTGACATTATACATGTGACATGTAGAACCAGTTTGATAGGACTTCATCTCTTCTTAAAATAGCTTCGGCTCTATCTCTTTTGGTGAGCAGAAGCATTTAAAAAAAATGTTTGGCAAAAAACGGGTTTAATATAATGGTAGTTTTGTCATAATCTCTATCATGTTTGTGAAAACTTCTATATCCAAAACAATGAAAAATGAAGGTGGCGTGGATTGAAGCCACATTTTTTAGCTGCTTTGGTGCCCCTCTGACCTAATTCGATTGGAGTGGCTCCATGGCAAGAGACGCGAGGAGCCGGAGAAGGCACTGTGCCAGATGTGCCCTTAACATTTCCATTATATGTGGACCCGTATCCTTTTGAAGAACGTGCTATAGCTAACATGAGATAGGTGATGTATCATCTTGCATTACTAATTAGAGGTCTTAATTGAATGTCCACATTACTTCTCACATGAGACACTAGGAAAAAACATGATTTCCTAAAAGCTTTCACAAAACTACAAGCACTTAGCCATCTATTCAGTAGACTCTAATCATCATTAATAATAAATGTCATTGTGCATGTTTTATTTTCTAAAATTATCCATCCTGATATTATAAATTATAAAATAGTCTAAAGTAACGCTAGATGTTGATCTAAATGATCTACCTGTGACATTATATTAAATAACCTAAAGTAACCTTACAATTTGCATGTTTACGCACGTATATTATTATAAAAAAAATATATGGTCCTGTTTGGATCATTGGAATTGAATTCATTTTAATAATCATAATTTAGACACATATTAATAAAGCTAATATGATTGTATATGGATATATTTGTATATTATTGTTGACTATACAAGAGAAATACTTATGTGTTGTATTTTTACCGTAGGGGAGCGAGTTGAAGAGAGTATTATAAGTTGCAAAGTAGAAATATAGAATGGTGATCTATATAATCAATTTCCATTTCCCACCTTATGAATTTGAGATATGCTTATATGCGAATTTTGAAAAGTGGTGGAATGTCAAATTCCAAGCCGAATAGCTTAATTTATTAATAAGTATATTTCAATTCCTCCAAATGAAAGGATCCAAACAGCCCCTAAAAGTAACCACATAGATTAACATCTAAATTTTCCACCGCAATTGTTAATAAAAAAATACCTAAGGTAAACCTACATCCAAATTAGCTACATATGTGATTATTTCACAGAAAGATAGGTTAATTAGTCATACTACTATAAACATTGATTATTGATCTATTTAAAAAAAACATGTCATTACACCTTGATAACGATATTTCCACATACAGGTCACTGTATATAAACACATGGGAGTATAGGCCATGTGAATGTCACGTCAGGGAAGCCCACGCAGCCGGCGCAGGGAATGCTACGCGTACGACGGTGCTGCGGCGGCCTCGGCCCAACTGTGAGGCGGTGACCACGGCCCGAACACCAGGCGCATCGCAGCGTGGCCGCGTCCAGCGGCGTCGCTGGGCACCAAGGTCGACGTCCTCCGCTCTCGTCGTCTCCTTGTCGATGGCGGCAACGCGAACGCCCACCGACACAGAGGTCCGCCATTCCTAGGCCACCGGAGATCATGGCGTGCTTGAGCAAAAAAAGGAAAACAGTGTCTTATTATCAGTTGGCTTTCAAATATCTGATGATGGATTGAATGGACACCACCCAGCTGGAATGTACCGAGACACTGGACACTGGTCGTCGATCGGCATCTTCTGCTTGCACATAGAAGCATCTCCAGCAGAACCGAGTGACTTCTAGGTAACCAGTTAATCTAGATAAATCATAGTACATCTAGACCGAGAGGTGGAGACAGAGAGATAGAGAGAGAGGTGTTGGTGTTGAACTTGAGCCCTCGGAGGGAGTCGTGGATGAACTGGAGCCGGCCATCTCAGGTTCGGTGATGAAGGTCTGCGCACGGACAGCGACGGGTGGAGTAGAGGTGGCACAGACGTCGATGCAGTGCAGACAGACGGTGTGGCAGTGACGACGGCGAAGTCAGTGGAGCTTTCCGTCGCTGGCTGCGCGCCCTTTCAGATCGGTCTAGGGTTTGTACGTGGGGTTTGCGGCTCACGGTGAACCTCGTACCTCGAGCCGCCGGCCCCCACCACTTTATATAGTGCAGTGCGACGGGGACGCACCAACCATGTAGGGTTGGGCGCCCCCGATCAGGGCGCGTGACCAAGGCCCAATAGGCCGTTGGACTTATTGGCTGGGAGATCAATCTAACATTCTCCTCTTTGATCTCACACTATTATTTTTATCTTTAAACTTTAAACTTCAATCCTTTTATCCTTACTCATTTCTTCATAGATGATGCATAGAGCATGTTTCATCGTCACGGTCAATCGCTGATAGATTTAACAGCTACAATGCACGTCTCTGATCTGAAATAGTTACTTTAACTTTTGGGCCATTTATAGTTCAGGAATCATAGGCTTTCCCTTAAACCCATGCCGGCTACATGTTCTTTGAACACGTTGGGTGGTAAGCCTTTTGTAAGCGGATCCGCGAGCATCTTTTCGGTACTTATATGCTCAAGACTTATCATTTGATCCCGGACTTTATCTTTCACAACATAATACTTTATGTCAATGTGTTTGGCAGCACCACTTGACCTATTGTTGTGAGCATACTGTACTGCTGGATTATTATCGCAGTATAACTTCAGTGGTCTATTGACGTCGTCAACCACCTTCAAACCAGGTATGAACTTCTTTAGCCAGTTCAACTGTCCCGTTGCCTCATAACACGCTACAAACTCGGCAAACATTGTGGACGATGTAGTGACGGTTTGCTTTGAGCTTTTTCATGAAATAGCTCCCCTTGCGAGAGTGAACACATATCCAGATGTGGATTTTCTATTATCTCCCGTATAATCAGAATCTGAATATCCCACTATATGGAGTGAATCCGATCTTCTATACGTCATCATGAGGCCTTTCATTCTTTGCAAATAACGCAAAACTTTCTTTACTAATTTCCATTGTTCTATTCCAGAATTGCTCTGGAATCTGCCAAGTAACCCGGTAACAAATGCCAAGTCAGGGCGCGTACACACTTGAGCATATTGCAAGCTTCCGACAGCTAAAGCATATGGAACCACTTTCATTTGATCGATCTCATATTGGTTCCTAGGACATTGAAAATCCCCATATCTGTCGCCCTTGACTATAGGAGCAGGTGAGGGACTACATTTGTGCATCTTGAATTTCTTTAAGACTTTTTCTATGTATGCTTTTGTGACAGTCCTAATACCCTTTACTTTCTATCTCGGTGAATCTCGATCCCTAGAACGAACGAAGCTTCACCAAGATCTTTCATATCAAATTTTGAGGACAAAACTTCTTTGTTTCTAGTAGTAGACCCACATCACTACTAGCAAGTAAGATATCATCCACATATAGGACAAGGAAGATAAACTTCTCATTCTTAAACTTTATGTGAGACACAATTGTCCTCAACATTATCTTTAAACCCAAAATTCTTTATTGTTCCGATCAAACTTCAAGTACCACTTGTCTTGAAGCTTGTTTTAATCAATAAATGGGTTTCTTTAGGCGGCATCCCAAATGTTCTTTTTCCTTCAATGACAAAACCTTTCGGTTGTGCCATGTAAACATTTTCTTCTAAGTCTCCGTTGAGAAATACCGCCTTTACATCCATCCGATGTAATTCTAAATTGTAATGTGCCACTAATGCCATTATGATTCTCAAGGAATCTTTATATGAGACCGGAGAAAAGGTCTCATTGTAATCAATCCTTCTCTTTGTGTAAAGCCTTTTTGCCACAAGTCGTGCTTTATATCTCTCTATATTCCCTTGAGAGTCAAGTTTTGTTTTGTAGACCCATTTACATCCCTCTTGTTTTGGCTCCTTTAGGAATTATCTCTAAATCCCAAACTTTATTTGCATTCATTGATTTTCATTTCATCTTCCATGGCCTCAAGCCACTTTGATGAATGATCACTTTTCATGGCTTCTTCAAATGAGGTGGGATCATCCTCCATTTGAAATTCCTCGATGTTGTACACTTCATAATCAGCAGGAATAGCTGATTTTCTAACTCTTTGAGACCTTCTAGGGGCCTCCTCATTTGACACATTTTCGGTTTAAGGCTGTTGTTGCTCCCCCTCATGTGTGGCAATAGGTTCTATAGGATCCTGAGGCACAGGT